TGGTCCCTTCGGCCCTTCATGATCACACATGTTGGTGTGCTGCTTCCATGTGGGCTTTGTTGCTTCTGAGCTAGATGGCCGTTTGTTTAAAGTATGGTTCTCCTGCATAGTCTTTTTTTTTTTTTCAAATATTCAAATCAAATATTCACCCTTCTCCTGCCTTCTGCAGTTTCATCAGGCTAGTTATTTTCATTTATATAGGAGGTATTTACATTTCATATCTCTTATAAGAGCTGAACAGCATTATAGTCCTTTTATTCATCAGTTTTACTATATCTTACTGTTCATTATACTGAAACAACTTGCAGATAGTAGGTATCTAGTAAATACTTGTTGAGTTGAACCCAAACTAGCCACTTTACAATAGTTGTACATTTCACATATTAATTGGAGACTTACTATGTACAAATCATGAACTAGCAGCTTTCAGCATATGTGCGTTTGACTAAGACTAACTCTAAGACATAAACTTAAAAAATCACCATCAAGAATAGGAACGTGGTAAGGGTCACAGAGAGAGGCCAACTATAATCCACAGTAGAGAGAAATTCTAGCTGGGAGATCAAGGAAGAATGTGAGGGAAGCGTTATGCATTGGATATTGGATGGGAGAGACTACATCGCTGGGATAATAGTAGAAAAAGGCATGACGAGCAGCAGGGCCTCATAAGCAAGGTAAGGAGAGAAGGTTTGGGAAAGAGATGGTCTGGTGTGAAAAGCACATAAGGGGAATAACAGAAAATGAGCCTAGAAAGACCCCAGATGGAGAGCCCTGACCATGCTAAGTAGTCTCGACCTACCTAAGAAGTAGTCTCCCTACATCCTAAGAAGTAGTCTCCCTACATCCTAAGAAGTCACTCACAAGTCTTTATTAGGGAGGTGCTGTGACTCGATCTCGGCACAATATTAGGATCGATTAAAATGGGCTCCAAAAACCAGAGTCACTGCCCCTGAGTCAATGCTGACTCACAGCAAGTAGAACTGCCCCTGTGGCAGGGTTCCATTACAATGGATTAGCAGAGGCCAAAAGGAACTGCTGCCATGATCCAGAACGAACACTTCTAACAGGGGGGTCAGTAGACAGGAACATGGTCTCTTCTGCTAACGCACACATTTCACCCAGGATTCTCTTCAGTAGGTTGCTGATACAATGTGGGCTGACATTCACAGTAAGTTCAGTGTACAGTGCAGTGATAAGTATACAGACTGATCTTTGTAAACAGTCTTGCTCAGATCGCTGAGAAGAAATTTTGATCCCCTCCCCTGCTGCTTAGTTATAAAACACTTCCTAATGTTCTGTGATACAGCTATAATTTTTAATAACAGTAGGTAAATTGTGAATTTTCCTTTACTCTAGTCAATTTCTTTACCCAATTCATTAAACACTTGGAGAGTTAATAAACACTTTATGTTTTTTTAGAGAATTTCATATAAAGAAAATTTATTGAGTAACCTAGTTCTATTAGAAAGTTTTAAGTTTTATACACCGAGAACATCAGTAATTGATAGGGCTTTGAGTATCCATTTAATTAAACCTCTTCCTATATATCGATTAGCAAACTGGAACCTAAAGAGATTTCAGAGTTTACCCAAAGTCATAGAATTAGTAAATGGTTTTGTCTAGAATTCGGGTCTTTGGATTAGTTCAGTTCATCTGAAATATGTTTAAAGGTGTTTTATTCAAAGTCAAGTAAACTCATAATGATATCTTCATTTGAAATACGTATTAGCTAATCTATGCTATAATGAATATAGAAAATATGGTGGTATTACTTCATGCAAAAGAATCTTACAACTTGTGCTATTGGGGTTTTTTTCCTACAGCCTGATTCAAGTTGTTAAGAATTATAGTACATCTACTATAACAGAAAGACGATTCTGTAGATTAAGCTGAACTATTACTCTTGTATGTGGACAAAATGAAATATAATCTTCCTAAGCTTCACTTTTCTTATCTATATGAAGCAGAAATAATAATGACCATGCACAACCAGGTTTACAGTATGAAACTAAAGAAATTTGAATATAAAAATTGTTGTTTCTATACAATTTTTCATCAAATGATTTGGAAAGACTGAAAAGTGGTAAAGAACTAAAAATATTGCATGGCCATTGAGTCAATTCTAAGTCATAGTGACCCTATAGGAGGCAGATTAGAACTGCCCTGTGGGTTTCTGAGACTCTAATTCTTTAAAGAAGTAGAAAGCTCCATCTCTCTCCTGTAAAGTGGCATGGTGGTTTCAAACTGCTGAACTTGTGGTTTAAATCCCAACACATAACCCATTATGCTACCAGGGCTCTCTGGAAAAGTACCGAATATACTTGAGTACACGCCAACCCGAATAAAAGCCAGGGTACCTAATTTTACCACAATAACTGCACTAGAAATGTGCTGGAAAACTCAGCTTATACACAAGTATATATACAGTAAGTCACTTTTTTTAAAAAAAGTTGAATTCCCAAACATTTAGGGAAAACGACCATGCTTTGTGAGGATCATTAAGTTCCTTTTCTATGTTAAAGAAAGTCTTCTGGTATATCTAATTGTCAAATTTTTTAATATTGTCTTAAAATGATATTGTCAGTCACTGATATATCTATTTTGAAAGCCTGAATTGTTAAATATGCCTAAAGTACATTCTTACAGTTAATGAGCAGTAGCCTTGGCTTTGTTTATAAAACCTTACAGAAATATTCAGATCAGAGCTGGAGAGGTCACCAAAGAGAAAACCTGTTCTAGATACAGTCCTCCTTAATCACTGATGACAAACACTTTTATCAATTAGTATACACATAAGAAATATCACCCCCTCCAAAAAAAGCATTAAAAAGTTCATAGAGCAACGAAGGAAAGTGGTTTCTTTCCATTATTAAAGATGGTAAAAC